ACACACACACACACACACACACACACACACACACACACACACACACACACACACACACACACACACACACAATGGCCCACATTTCTACGCAGATAAACAGCAGCCAAAGTTGATGTCAAAAACCTCTTCTGCTCCCTTCAACCGACAGTTTCCGGATTATGGCCAGCGCTAGGGCACAAGGCAGGCTGCGTAGCTGGAGCTGGCAATATTGTCGAGTGGGGTGACAGCCCTCTCTTGCCCATCTCTGCTATCATAAGGCCTTAAATAAATCTAGCATAACATCTTGGGAATGTTTCTAATATTGCCTTTGCTACTTTGGATTGAGGAGAGAAAAGTACGAAAACTGGATAATCCCCATTAAGACAGCTCCTAAAAAGCCCGTAAAAGCAACTTCGGAAAGTAACTACTTGTCGCCCATGGCATTTCAATGACTCAAGTGTTACTGACCACCCGACGAATAACTCGGTAGTTACTTATTACATTGTTCATTATCTCCAAAAGTAACTAGTTAAAAACAACTACACTCATTGTAAATAGTTCCCTCCAAGCCCAGAGGCGGGTGGGGAGAGAATCACTAACTCCTCCCCATCTCCTGAAATTTGATGGGTGAAAAACGCCTAGCGCCTTCATCTTCGGTGGCCCCGTTCCTGCCAGGGCCCCCGCAAAAGGGAAGGTGATTCAACCCACTTCCTTCCAAGCTTTCAACATCACGGTACCTGTTTTTGAGAAGGATACAGGAGATGAGAGTTGAAATCCCTCTTTTGTCTTAATCCCTCCTGTGTGGCAGCGTTAAAGCATTTCCTTTCCTCTCTTTTGCTTTTTTTTCCCCCTCCCTTTCTTTCTTTCCCAGGGCTGTCTGCTGCTTGAATAAATTTCTGGCAATTAATTGTCTGATTTTTAATGCATGGCTAATGGATTACATCTGCATACGTTGGCTTATAAATAAAACAACGGTTCCAAAGTGGGAACGAAAATTCTCCGCCTGTCCCTTTTGTCTCCCTTTTTTTTTTTAATTTTAGAACAGGCACCTTCTTACATAATTGGAGGAGACGTTAGGGGAGCCGCCGAGACCTTTCATCCACTGCAGGAAGGGGGGGAGGAACATTCCTTCTAAAGTGGCACCTGTTGGGGTTATGGGCTGTCAAATCGCCCTCGACGTACCGGAGACCCTATGAACGAGCGCTCTCCGAAATGCCCTGTCCTCAACAGCCCTGCTCAGCTCTTGCAAACCCAAGCCTATGGCTTCCTTTAGGGAGTCAATTCATCTCACATTTAGTCTTCACCTCTTTTCCTGTGGCCTTCTGCCCAAAGCAGGACAGCCTCAATTTTTGTCTTTTTTTTTACCTCCAGAGATCGTTCAGGATCGATTTGATCCAAGGACCCCCTTGTTTGTGTTTCTGGCCGTTCAGGGTATCCGCAAAGCTCTCCTCCAGCACATTTCGAACGATTCAATTTTTCTCCTGCTCTCTTTCTTCCCTGTCCAGCTTTCACACCCCTACGTGATGATCTCGGTCTCCAGGGTCCCCTCCTGACACCGTCCAGCTTTCACACCCCTACGTGATGATCGGAAAGACAAGAGGGTGGATGACCTTGGTCTCCAGGGTCCCCTCCTGACACTTGATGATGCACAGAAGCTCTTTGATCTGCTCTGTATCTCAAGTCATAGAATCGGCAACTTTGGGGGGAGTGTCATCTAGTCCAACCCCCTGCCCAAGGCAGGAGATCTCCTCCCATCCCAGACAGATGGCTGTCCCATCTTTTCTTGAAAACCTCCAGCCATGGGGCACCCAGAAACATCGCGAGGCCAGCTGTTCCACTGCTTCATGGTTCTAACCGTCAGGAAATTCCTCCTTATTTCCAGGTTGGATCTCCCTCTCACGAGTTTCCACCTGTTGGCTCTTTTCCTACCCTCGGGCGCCATGGAGATTCAATCGATGCCCTCTTCCCTGTGGCAACCCTTCAGATCTTGGAAGACGGCCATCACGTCTCCCCTCGGTGTTCCCTTCGTCAAGCTAAACAGACCTAGTTCTTTTAGGCATTCTGTTGAGCCAAATACTCCCCTATCCTGTACCCGTGGTGCCTCTGGTTTCTCCTGCCTAAGTGCAGGACCTTACTTTCCCTACCACTGAACTGCATCTTCTTGGGTAGGGCCCAAGGTTCAAGTCTGTCTAGATCCTTTTGAAGGATGAAAATCAAAGGGGTCACAGGTCGTAGCTGCTCTGCCTTATAGTCTTTAGGAGACATTCTGATCCCTTCCAGTCCCAGGTCTATGGCCTTTTCTGTGTGTGCATTTCCAGATCTCTATGAAGGAGAAAAAAGCCTCCTGTTAATGTGGAGCTAGATACGTGTGTGAGTGCAACACATTGTTCTAAGAGTGCGACCTATCCACTCAACGTCAGTACATCAGTCCATCATTCTTCCACAACCTCACGCGTGCGCGCAAAATCAGAAGAGTGTGATCATATTTGGCCAAGCGTAATAAAAAGTGTGAGAGAATGTGCAAACAAAGAAAATTCTACAAGGCAAAATCAAGGCAGCAAGACTTTTGTTCTTCAGCAGTCCCTGCTTTACGCCAATCCTACTGGAGAAGCCTTTGTGCAAAAATACCGTGAGCCAGCCCCTTTTTTTTACTACTGGAGAAGCCTTTGTGCAAAAATACCAACTGTGAGCCAGCCCCTTTTTTTTAAGAAGGCATTGAATTACACTGGCCTTCTTAGCTTTGCAAATGTCCAATTTAATTGATGATGCCATAGGGTACAGCAGAACGGTGCTCACCTCTGTCCCTCCAGAGGTTGGATGCCACTGTGGCGATCCTGACCTTGGACGCAGGTGCCGTAAACAACGCTGCTTCCAATTAAAGATGCTTTCAGTCCGCTGAGGATTGATTAGGGTCTATCGGCAGATCGCTGGGCAAGCCGAGGGAATGGATCAGCAAAAGTTCCTGACTCCGACAGACAGGGAGGAGACAATGCCAAAATTGATCCGGTCTAGTGGGTCCTTGATGGTTTATCTCATCATCTCCAGTCTGTCCCCGCCTTTGGGCAGATATCCATATTTATCGATCCCCTTTGAATAAAAGGTCTTTGAAGCTCAAAAGTTCTCCATTTGTGAACCTGAGCTGCAGCCGCGCAGATAGAATTTCTGTG